GAAGACTGCTTCCTGAACATAATACCAGTATCACAGACACTGAGATCAACAATTGATAAATGGGACCTCCTGAAACTGAGAAGCTTCTGTAAGGCAAAGAAGACAGCAAGAAAAAATGGCAGCCCACAGACTGGGAAAAGATATTCACCAACCTCACATCTGATAGAGGGCTGATTTCCAAAATATACAAAGAACTCAAGAAGCTAGTCTCCAAAACACCAAACAACCCAATTAAAAAGTGGGTTACAGAACTAAATAGACAATTCTCAATAGAGGAATCTAAACTGGCTGAAAGACACATAAAGTGTTCATCATCCTTAGCCATCAGGGAAATGCAAATCAAAACAAATCTTACTCCTGTTAGAATGGCTAAAATCAAAAACACCAATGACAGTTTATGCTGGAGAGGATGTGGAGAAAGGGGAATACTTCTCCACTGCTGGTGGGAGTGCCAACTTCTACTGGAAGTCAGTATCAGTCTATCACGAGATCTAGCAATTCCACTCCTAGGCATATACCCAAAAGAAGTACATTCATACAACAAGGACATCTGTTCAATAATGTTCATAGCAGCACTATTTGTAATAGCCAGAAACTGGAAGCAGCCTAGATGTCCGTCAGCCAAAGAATGGATAGAGACAATGTGGTAGTTTACACAATGGAGTACTATTCAGCGGAAAAAAGAATGGAATCTTGAAATTTGCAGGAAAATGGATAGAACTGGAAGAAACCATTCTGAGCGAGGTAACCCAATCACAAAAAGACAAACATGATATGTACTCACTCATGTGTGGATTTTAGACATAGAGTAAGGATTACCAGCCTACAATCCACACTGCCAGAGAAACTAGTAAACAAGGAGGACCCTAAAAGAGACAAACATTGTCCCCTGGAGAACTGGAAAGGGTCAAGATACCCTTGCAAATTGAAAGCATAGGAAGAGGGGGGAGGGTGCTACAAGAATGAGAGGGGAAGAAGAGGAAGGATGCAGAGGTCATGAGGGAGCAGAAAGATTGAGTCAGGTGAAGAATAGAAGAAAGGGAATGTGATAGGTAGGGTTTTAGTTGGGTGTGTGATAGGTTAGGATGGGATGGAGAAGGGAACTGGGATTGTCATGTAAATCAATCTTGTTTCTAATTCAAATAAAAAATGATTAAAAAAGAAAAAAAGAAATGTTTTGAACTTTTATATCTAATTCAACATACTAAGTAGAAAGATCTGCTTTATAATAGTAACAAGGATATAGCTTATAATAGTAATTGCAAAGTCCCAAGAGAAATCCTGTTTGCAATGATATATTTATATTCTTTGACTTGTCTATAGAAAAATGCATAATATATTTCATAAATATATTTCTGATGTAGCAATGCATTTCTACACAAAGGTATTATCTTCCATTCTCCTTTATCTAGATCATTACTATAAATAACTAATTGCAATTGTGGGCATTTCTTCCACAACCTTCCAATATTCTGTGTGCCCTTATTAAACGCTACCAAACACAGGAACATTGTGTCTGGCGCAAGTACCTGATGACTTTTCTGTAGACTCTCCATAATGGAAAATAAAGTCAATATTCCTTAGGTTGGCACATGTTTCAAAATGTTTCCATAGGAGTATGCTACAATTCTGAACACAACTCTCTATTATTGAAGTCATTTCCAGTGAAATAGTTCATTTTCTATTTTTCTTTAAAGTATTCAACATTGTATGCTAGCAGCTAGCCCAAAGTTTGCTCAAAAAGTATTCACTGATATAGGATATCTGATAATTTTATAATAACTTTAAGTGAAATAGTAGCTAGTTGGTGACTCTTCTAACAAAACTTCAGAAATATTCTCTTTTTAAAACTATAATACATGTTAGTTTCTTTTGCATATATGCCTACTCGTTCTCTAGCAAGCATATTGAAGTTACAATTATCTAAGTAGCATTGCTTCTTCCTCTGTAATAAACAAATCGTACTACAGAGTTTGTTAGGTCAATTCTGGTTCTGTAATATTTTTCGAAAAGAGTACATGTATCTCCCTGTGGATATCTATGTATTATGTAAGTACACATACAAACATTAACACATATATGGCTTGTAGGAGAAATTACGAATTTAATGGAATTGACTTCGAGGTCACAAGGTAGTAATCATTTCCAGACAGCTTTAATTGCCCTGTCTCATTTAGAAAGCCTAATGTGTATTGCCAAGGGAAGTGTATGGATTACAATACCACTTAGCTCTCTACAAATAAAAAAATAAATCCTTGTACATTTTGGTGCAGAACTTGATTATTTTACCTATTACATTTTACTATAATGGCTTCTCATTGCTAGATTTTGCTTTCAGCTATTTGGATGGCAGAAATTTGGGTATAAATAATCCTGAGAGACCTATTTACCCCCCCCCAAAAAAAAACAATGTAGGCTAAAATCACCTCCCACAGAAAGCAGGGTCCATTAGAGTAGAATGACTCAGAACAAAGAGGTGAGGTTAACATTGACCCAGGAAGGAGAAACAATTCATTTTAACTCTTTGGAATGCTGCTCTAACATCTGACCACATTAACAACAGTATAGGCTTATTGCAATGTTTGCCTGACCTGTAAAATGACTCCATAAACATGGAAATTCTATGAATGTATATCCTGGGGGGAGTAGAGAGGCTAAGAACTAATTGCTGATGTCCAGAAGAATATGCGTATTTAAAGTCATAAATGATGGATTTTGACTGAATTATGACTAGAATACCTGAAGAAAAAATAGGGCTTCAATCAATGACTAAAACTATTTCATACACGAAGGCTGTATGGGAAGAAACATTTAAGCTGTTTAATACCAATTCTTTAATAAACACTTGGGAGAAAGGTTAGTACTGTGTCATCAAAATTCTATTTCCTTTAGATTCAGAATATTAAATTTGGATTAGTATGTCTTTCTATAACTAACACAAATCTTAACTATAAAGTCAAGAAATATTTTCTGTAACTTATTCAAAAATGGCTATTTAATCTCAAGTGTTAGCATTGTTACATAGACAACATCAAAATTATGTTATTAGGGTCATTGATAAGCATAGGGACTTGGATGCTTTAATTTGGCTTGTCTTAAGTCATACAAGAATCAATTCTACCATATCAACCTTTTTTCTTTATTTGGATATTATTAAAATCTACCAAACACTATGGATTTATCTTCTTTGCTATGAAATGATTGTGATTTAGTGTCTTTCCTAATCCCAACCCTCTAAACTTCAAGATATCCCATGTTCTAACAATTGGCATATCTACCAAGCATGTTTTTTTCTCACTAGGCTATACCCTCAGTCCTGTTTATTCTGAAAGAGAAAATAGATTATACCATCACTTCCTTAGGATTTATTATATTCTCCCTGGACTAATTGATGTTTGTTCCTTGAAAAGTTTTATTCTCTTTACATGAAAATACGAATATTTAAAAAAAAAACTACATTTTTATTTTCCTCTACGATGGAGAACTAAAGACGTCCCAGGAAAAAAGTACCTTATTTTTAGGCTCAGTTATTGAAACAAGTGTACCATAATTTGACACTGTGAAGTATTTATAAATTATACAAAGCTAAATGCGTTAAGGACTGAATGCTTGTGTTTCTTCAAATTGCATATGCTACAATCCTAATCCATAATGCTTCTGAAAAGAGAAAGCTGCCAAATATCTTTTCTAAGTGTAAAATTAAGCTTTTACTAAACAGAAAAAAAATCACACTATGATAAGAGTGGATAAAACTGGGGCTGGTGAGATAGCTCAGATGTTAAGAGTACTAGCTGCTCTTCCGAAGGACTTGGGTTCAATTCTCGGAAACCACATGGCAGCTGACAACTGTCTGTAACTCCAGTTCCAGGGGATCTGAAACTCTCTATAGACGAACATGCAGGCAAAGCCCCGCTGTACACTAAATAAATAAATAAGTCTTGTTTTGAAAAAGAATGAGTGGAACTAGTAGGAATACTAAGCAGCAAAGACCACAAATTGATTATATTTGATATATTTGTCTTATTCCAACACTGATGCCTAACAGCTACAATAGTTTCCCTTTATTGTGAGGATGAGAATCCAACTATATTAAAGTAACTGCTACATTTCATATCTTTTAATGCCAGAACAATAGGATACCTCCCACGAGATTTCTTAAGAACTTTCTGGGAGTATAACTAATTCAAATGCCTTCAGAATTTCAATTCACTGCTGTTACTTACTGTTGTTGGAGTTATTTTTCTGGAAGAGGTTGGTTGTGTTGTGGTCCAGGGAAGCACATGAATTATGACTGTAGTAGTGGCAGTCAGCTGACTAGCTGAATTCTCACCCAATTCATCAGTGACTTCAATAAGTAACTGGAATGTCACTCCATCTTGAGTTCCTTGAAACAGATCATCCTGGAAATGCTGCCCAGTGGCCAGAAATGGAGACTCAGCACCTTCTCTCCAAAGTGTGAACTGATTATTTGTGTTTCCTAAGAATGATGAGGTAATCAAACAATGGGGCTGTATTACCAATGCTTATTTCCATGCTTACATAAGTTTTTGTTTAAAATATATCTTATGATATGTTCCCAACAATTACAAGTATCTGACGTGAGAATCATAGGAAACAGCGTGGAAGTAACTAGGTTGAATTCATATGCTTTACCTTCTGTGATGGAATAGCTTAGATGATTCTGTGGGGAATCCTTGTCTAAGCAATTAAGGCGAATTAAAGGACCCCTAAATCTGGCATACATCTGAATTTCTAAATGTGGTGGTGAACATACAGGAGGCTCATCATTCACATTCTACAACAAAAGGATATTGTATTAGGTTCTAAGTCATGTTTCAAAATTCTAACCATATAAAATTAGTCACTTTTCTAATTTTTATTGCATTTGTGTTGGCCTAGATAATTTCCAGTAAACTATAAAAATACGTTACACACACACACACACACACACACACACACACACACACACACACACACTAGAAGGGGGGTGCTTTTAATGACTCAGATTCTATGACTGAAGAATAGTGATGGTCATTTAAATCATCAAAGCTGATGCCCACAGGATTCCTCAGCTCAGCAATTTTTTCACAGAAAATTTGTTTCACAGAAAATTTGTTTCACTACATATTTTCCTGATGTCTTATTCATTCACCTTTTTCTTTTCCTTGAATCACTAGCTTGTGAAACAAAACAGATATAGCAGACAGCTGGTGCTACTGACTAGAGCCTGTACTTGCTTCTTCATAAAAAAATGCATAGGAAACACTTAATTTTCAAGTGCCTTCTGCCCAAAAGCCTAGAGTAGTGTTGAGAAATATCACTGTCTTTATTAAGGAGGTTTATAATTTCAAGTTACAAACTGATAACAAGAATCATCCAGATTACCAGCAGAAGAGTGAAATGGCAGGGACAGGAATTAATAAATTGACTTGAACTCACAAGTTTGGAAGGATTGAGACTACTTTTAAACATTCATCCATGTTATTAATATGGTATAAACAAGTACAAAAATCATTAACAAGTATAAAAATATAAATGACATTTTAAAAAATAAAGAGCCAAGCAAATATTTTTCAGAAATAAATTATCTCCATGCTTTTACAACTGCCCTTATTATCATATATGGCTCACATTCACTGGTGTACTCAAAGGGCACATCTAAATAACATCACAGGACTATAACTCTCCACCATCGTTTTGATATTCCCATTTCATTTTGAAACTCTGGGAACATTTTGGAAGAAGGAATTCTTAATGCTCCAACATTATGGCCAGCTTTTAAGCTTGTTCTTAAATTAAGCAAAAGGGACCCTGCCAACCTTGAATCATCAGTTTCTTATTTTAAGGTGCTGTTTCTATGGCTTGGAATTTAATATGTCATTCCAATCTCGCTTGCCAGAATTAATTTTGGCAAAAGACCATCATTTTCTTACATAACTGTATCTCCAATTACATTAAAACATAGTGTATTCATGTTACTAAGTTATATTCTTTATGGAAATTTGACCAATACAAAGTAAACAAGAAAGCAAAACTATGGTTTTAGTTGTTCATACCTTAAAATTTAGAATCACCATAATTCTGGAACAAAATACTCTGAAACGCTATTACATGTATTTATTAACTAAATTTCAATAAATAAAAACAACTTTAGCCAGTACATTTGGTAAGTGATTTAAAACCTGTTCCCAATTAAAGAGAAATAAATTGAGTTGCAATTATCTTTGAGTAATCTGGAAAGGCATTTTCAATCCCCGTGTTGTTATATGATTACCTAAGGTGGTTATTAAATAAAGCATACTATTTAAATTTTCTTAGTTCCTAATAAATAAACTTTAGTCTCAACACATTAATCATAATTTAGCAATATTTATCACTTTTATTTAATTTTGGAATAGAATATATTTTCTTTACATAGAGCAGTTCACCAAGCTTTTAAGTATAGGCATTGGAGACATGGATCAGCAGTTAAGAGCATTTACTGTTTTTTTTCCTGAGGACCCAGGTTCAATTACCAGCACCTGTATGGCAGATCACCAACACCTGCAACCAGAGTTCCAGCAAATCAAATACATTCTTGTGACCTACTAGGACACCAGGCATACACATAGTGTGTATCCATACAGGCAAAAATGCATACATGTACATTAGAAAACACCAATAAGTAAATCTTCTCATAAGTTTTTAAGTACAAACATGGTAAGTTTGGACAACCTGGGATGTTGTGGGCCTTTTATTTAATAGTATTTAGACTTTCAATCTTAAAGTACAACAAAAATACTAAGTAGATAAATTAGGAAGTTGGATGAGTAGATGTTCAGAATGGGGTTGTTACATCGTTCCATACCTCTTCTGATTAGAGTTGGTTTGGAAGTATATTTTGTCAGTTCTAGCACTGAAAGTGGGAATGGACACAGGGTCCCATCCTTAACCATGAAGCTTTTAGCTCAGAAAGAAAACTCAGTTTTCTTCAATGGAGGAAACTGTATATCAATCACACTCCAAAACAGACCCTATGCCCATGCTGTGTATGTGCTTGTGTGTGTGTGCTTTTGTTTTATTTTGGATTTTTTGTCTAATTGTTATTTTTCTCATTCACCTTGATTTTAATTTTAGTGTTCCTACGGGATTGTTTTCAGAGAATGAGACAGAGAGAGGTAGGAAGAGGGATGGGTAAGGAAGTAGGGAGGAACTGGGAAGAGTTGCAGTACAGAAAAATGATAAAAAATTATACTTAACATTTAAAGATAAAATGATATAAAACAGGAAGAAGGTAAAAAAAATATATGGTAAAAAATAGTCATGGTGGGTACAGGTTTGGCATGTACCCTTATCGTTACTTTCTCTGTATAAATATTACCTTAAGCAATTAAAAACAGAAAAGGTCTCTAATAAAAAAGGTTTACTATTGCTCTTCCTGAGTTTTAAAATATAGGCATATATTTGAAGAGTGGAGAAACTATCATATATAAACTCCTGAAATAAGGAATGATGGAACTCAAGCAAATTGCCATGGAAACCATATTGTGTAGACTGACTTTGGTGATTATTGATAACTGTCAACTTGCTAGGATCAAGAATCACGGAGAAAAATGCCTTCAGCATATCTGTGAGAGATTCTTAGCTCTCAGCTACTTGACATGAGATACAGTGTGCCCAGCTTCTAATTCTCCCACCATCACAGACTATCCTCAACTGCGAGCCCAAACAAAGCCTACCTCTAACATGAAACTGGGAACTCCATGTCCCTTTATATTTAAACCTTTAATAAAAAATATAACTACATGTTGTGATTAAAATGCCAAAAGTTGCAGGGCAGTGGTGGCACATGCTGTCAATCTCAGCACTTGGGAGATAGAGGCAGGCGGTTTTCTGTGAATTCAAGGCCAGCCTGGTCTACAAAGCTATGCAGAGAAAAACCCTGTCTCAAAAAAACCATAAATAAATAAATGAATAGCTAAAAGCTAAACCATGTACTGATACTGTGCATGTTAAAGAGGCGAATGAAAATGAGCTCAATTTTTATAGACTTAAATTGGTTAGGAAAAGTTCGCAATAGTCACGCTAATGCTAATACTTAATAAGATTTGTAATCATTTGTAATCATTGTGAAAAGAGAGGAGGAAACCTCTTTCACTGACTACTCTTTGCTACCTGACATTCTTGAAGGATTTAACAGAGGAAAGTTCTAGAGTCAACCACCAAGTAGTATCCGCAGCAAGAAGCCTTTTGTCCCAAGTTTTCATCCTTTATTTACTATTATATGGTTGAGTGTTTTGTTGTGTGTGTGTGTGTGTGTGTGTGTGTGTGTGTGTGTGTGTGTGTGTGTGAGAGAGAGAGAGAGAGAGAGAGAGAGAGAGAGAGAGAGAGAGAGAGAAAAAGAGAGAGAGGAAGGGAGGGAGGGAGGCAGGGAGGGAGGGAGGTAGAGAAGAAAAGAGAGAGAATTCAGTTTAATGTGTTGTTAATTTTAGATAGATTCCAGTAACCTTACATGTGATCTTCTCTTCACTGCCAGGTAACACTCCTCAGCAGGTGGCTCCCAGTGTGGTACATGTCCTAGGTGCCACCTGTGCTTGGAGCAGCCTTAGTGGAGAATAACCATACAAGTCAGCTATCTCACTAAGTTCTGCCTCTGAATCTGTAGACCATCTCTGCCTGGTGTCTTCTGCTTAATTTCCTTTGCATTCTTTACCTTGTTTCTTGTGTTGGAACTCATGTTCTGCCTGCCTCACTCTCCTGTGTGCTAGGATAGCAAGTGTAATCCAGGCTTTGTACTTCTGTTTGCTGTGACAGTCTGTAGGATGGATGGCAGGCATGTACTCTTCCCTCTGAGAAATTCTCTGTCAAAGAAGGCCCTGTCATCATCTCAGAGTGCTGTGTGTTGTCCTCTTCCTGTGTCTGGAGGAGGTGCCCTCTTTTATCTCCACTACCTTGGAAACAATTGACATTTCCCTTTAGTACCATTGTAGTTAACCACAATCTTGCTACTTTTTACTTCTGAACCCAATACTGAATGTCATATATCCAATAGTGCTATCTCTATTTTAGTTGGAAATGTGGTTACTAATGTAACCGACTTCTATAAAATAGAAAACTATTGTCATTTATATTAAATGTTGTTTATTTTTATGAATGGGCTTCCATTTTCTTCACGCCTTGATTGATTCCTGGGAAATTTTTAGCCACTGAAAAAAATGTAACATGTAACTCAAAACAAGTAGGAAAAAAAATCAGTCAACATAAAAGGAGAAAAATGTAGAAAGGGAGATATAAACATAGCTGGTAATATGTAAAACAAGATAATAGAATAAATATGAATACAGTAGCAACCATAATGAATGTAAAGGCATTTTGAATTATAGTAAAATACAAATATAATACTGAATCATATACCATGAAATTATATAGCTAATTATTTAAGGCAAAAATGTAAGGACATGGGTTAAAAAGTAAAAATAAAAGAAAGAAAAATAAATAAAAATGATAGGTCAATATTATACATAAAACATGGTGTAATTACAGCTAGCAGCCATTTTGTCATTTAAGTGAATATCACTATACATTGACAGTCATCACCACAAAGCAGTGAGGAAATGCAAGATAAACGTCGTTAGAAAAAACAGTGACAGCACTAAATGATGAAGTAATGAAATTGAATTTCCTTCACTACATGGATGAATATAAAGTGATCAAATTACCTTGGAAAACTTGTTAAGAGTTTTCAGATACCCAAGAACACATTTCTGGGTGTGTCTGTGAAGTTCTGTGGAAAGTTTAATAGATGAATCCTAAGAT